CTTTTCGTGGGGGTTTTGAGGTTGTAGTCATGGGGGGAGATGCAGAAGAAGGAGGAAAAAGAATGGCATTAAGACTACAAACAGCAAATATACCAACAACTTTTGTACCTAATAATGCATTATTCCCTATCATGGCTAAAATTGATAAAGTATTATTAGGTAAATAATTAACAAGAAAAAAAAAAAGAAAAAAGGGTTTAGGGTTTAGGGTTTAGGGTTTACGGGTTTAGGAGGGTTAGGGGCGTATCGAGGGTTTAAAGGGAGGGAGGGGATTAGGGTTTAGGGTTTACAGTTGGACTTAAAAGGGATTTAAGAGGGTTTAAGGGCATGGAGGGTTACGAGGGTTTGACAGCATTGTGACTCTAAACCCTAAACCCTAAACCCTAAACCCTAATTTTTTTTGTATTTTTTTTTTCTTGTTCTTTGTACAGGAACAGTAGCAGTATTATCATCAGGGGGAGTCGTAACAGTAGGAGGAGCAGCACCAATTGCTTATGCTGCTCGTTATTTTAGTAAACCCTTAATAGCTGTTGCTCCTTTATTTAAATTAACTTGTCTTCCTTTCTTTGATCATCAAACATCTAATGAATTACTCCCTCCTGCTGCCGTAAGTTATACACATAGCTAGCTAGCTGGCTAGCTAGCTAGCTAGCTAGTTAGACAGACAGACAGCTATCTATGGAGGTATGTAGGTGGCTAGCTAGCTAGCTAGCTAGCTAGCTGTTGCTTTTTTGTGTGTGTGTTGTGTCCCAGTTAGTGCCAGACGGACAATCCATGGGCGACGTCAGTATCAGGTACGCCACTATTGAATTAGCTAGCTAGCTAGCTAGCTAGCTAGCTAGCTACCCATCTAGTATATATCTAGCTAGCTAGCTAGCTAATGCAGCTAGTATTCCCTTCTTCCTACGCGTCTACCTCCCCCCCAACCCGTCTACCTCCCCCCCTACCTACCCAGCTAGCTAGCTATAAATAAATAAGTAAATAAATAAATAAATAAATAAATAATAATATGTGTATGTATGTGTACAGGATACCTATGTTAGATTATGTAGCTCGTTCCTTTATATCTGTATTTATTACTGATGTTGGTGCTGTTGATCCTTCTTATCTATTTGCATTAAGTAGGCAAAGGTATCATGTTGATGATATAGCACTTAGTATTGTTGATTAATTTATTTATTTATTTATTTTATTTTTATTTATTTATTTATTTATTTATTTATTTGCTGGCTAGCTATAGATAGCTAGGTAGGTAGGTAGGTAGGTAGGTAGGTAGGTAGGTAGGTAGGTAGGTATAGATGGATCAGTAGGGGGGAGGTTTTGCCGGTTATGTATTTAGCTAGCTAGCTAGCTAACTAGCTAGCTAGCTGTGTGGGTAGCCAGGTAGGTGGATAGCTAGCTAGCTAGCTAGCTAGCTAGATGGCTAGCTGGGTAGCCAACTAGCCCTTGATGACCGATTAGTAGTGGGGTTGTTGTAGTAGCAGCCTGCGTCAAGGTGTGTGTACACCTGGAGGCAGTGCTGCTGCAGCTGCTGCTGCTGCTGCTGTTGCTGCTGCTGAGGAGGCAGACAGCAGCAGCAAAGAACTTATTGAAGTGTTTTTCCTTTTAAGTATTCCAATCTATAAACCCTAAAACCTAAACACTAAACCCTAGACACTAAACCCTAAACCCCAAACCCTAAACCCTCTCTTGAGAAGTTTGTTGTTGCCGCTGTGTGGCTATATAAAAAGAGGCACCACGGATACCGTCCCACGGGGGAACAGCTAGCTAGCTAGCTAGCTAGCTAGCTAGCTAGCTAGCTAGGTAGTCACGCTAGTAACTAGTTGCACAGCTAAGTAGCTAGCTAATCAGCCAGCTAGCCAACCAGCTAGCTGACTGCCTATATAGCTATCTTAGGAGCTAGCCAGCCACCCACCAAGCTGGCAAGACCCACGGCTAGCTAGCCACGTAGCTAGCCAGGCTAGCTAGCTAGCTAGCTGCCAGCTTCTTTCCCTTCATGCGCCAGAGTCATAGATCGTCGTAGCTAGTTGTAGGTCGAGGAACAGTCTGAGGTGGACATACACTCCACAACAAACCCTAAACCCTAAACCCTAGGACACCACTCAAGCAGCTACCTAGCTATTTAGCTAGCTAGCTAGCTGGCTAGCTAGCTAGATATAGACTTACCATTGGTGCAGCGCCAGTGGCATAAGGAGAGTCCCAATCGCGCTGCCGTCTAAAGTGTGGGGCCATAGGAGGGGGGGGCAGCACAAATGGAGGAGGAGGAACTCCTCCTGCTGTACGTATACACCACAACACAAATTAGGGTTTAGGGTTTAGGGTTTAGGGTTTGTGGGTGTTGCATGAGAAACCTTTCTGCAGAACGACTGCCTGTAAATTAGGGTTTAGGGTTTAGTGTTTGTATGTCTTGCAGTATGAAAATCATTTCTGCAGATCGTTAGTCTCGAAATTAGTGTTTAGGGTTTATTAGGGTTTATTAGGGTTTATTAGGGTTTAGGGTTTACGAGGAAATAATTCTTGTCCTGGTGGTGCATATTATGAGTATTATGCGATCTATGATGATGAATTCTTTCCTCTTTTTAGTAAATTAGTGTTTATTGTATAATAATGAATTTATTAGGGTTTATTAGGGTTTATTAGGGTTTATTAGGGTTTATTAGGGTTTAGGGTTTACGTGGAAAGAATCCCGGTCCCGGTCCCGCAGGATGATTACTATGCGATCTATGATGATGAATTCTTTCTCTTTCTCTTTCTCTTTCTCTTTCTCTTTCTCTTTGCCGATGTCTTTCTTGAGGAAGAGTTATGTGTTTATTTGGATCATTCATGTATGCTGTCTTCATTATATGAGGTACATACTGAATATACAATCATAAACCCTCATAAACCCTCATAAACCCTAAACCCTAAACCCTAAACCCTAGACACGAGTTGACAAGAAACCACAAATGTTTTATGATAAACATTCAGTGCATCAGAACAGGAAGATAGTCAGTGGCTATAAATCCTAAACCCTAAACCCTCGGTATCTCATACATACCACATCCAGCACGCCAAACCCTAAACCCTAAACCCTAAACCCTACTTTGTTAATAATGCGTATAAGCTCGAGTTCGTGTTTCTTGCGATGATGTAAATGAACAAAAGAAGGAGCCTTAAACAATTTCTGGCATAAAGTGCAACGATAGCGACCTTCTGCATCTTTAGATGTATGCTGCACACAAACCCTAAACCCTAAACCCTAAACCCTACACCCTAAACCCTAAACCCTAAAAATAATTCAAATACTGTCACAGAACCAGCAAGACGATTTTAACCATCTTGCCTCTCCATTGGGGGTTTTAACAGAATGGTACGCACGGCTCGGTGCTGCTGCACTATTTTAGGGTCTAGGATTTATTAGGGTTTAGGGCTTATTAGGGTTTATTAGGGTTTAGGGTTTACCTCTTGACAGAAAGCAGTCCATTTACTTTGTATAACAGGACTCTCTTGTTCATCAAGAGGAGGAGGAAGATTTTGTTGCATGTTTGCTGCCATCTGCAGCAGCGCCTGCAGCCTCTGGTCTAGCTGCTGCACCCACTGCTGCTGCTGCTGCGATATACCGCTGCTGCTGCTGCTGCTGTTGGTGTTGTTGTTGCTGCTGCTGCTCGTATTGTTACCGTTGCTGCTGCTGCTGCTGCCGTCCTCTACTATATCCTCCTCCTGCTGCTGCTGTTGCTGCTCCTGCTCCTGCAGGAAATGCTGCAGATGGGGAGGACAGGCAGGACGTAAATGTGCTGCTGATGCATTTAGATGCAGCTGTTGAGGGTCGTCGTACACCTGAAACCACAAACCCTAAACCCTAAACCCTAAACCCTAAACCCTAAACCCTAATGCACGCACACACACTTTCGATCCACCACTGTCTAATATTTAGGGTTTAGGGTTTAGGGTTTATGACGGACCTTGCCGCTGTAGTAGCAGACGCAGTGGACATGCCGTAAGTACGTCAACATCAAATCCAGACGCCTGAACACCCAAACCCTAAACCCTAAACCCTAAACCCTAAACCCTAAACACTATTCCTGAAGTCTACGCTGCAGAGGGGTAAAGGGGAAAATAAATTAGGGTTTAGGGTTTACGATTTAGGCTGTACGTACAACCAAGGGTCGTCAATCCCATCAAGAATCTCCTCTAAAGGATGAGGCGCATCTGCTGCGCATACATCCAACTGACCATCTGCAGCAGCAGCAACAGCAGCAGCAACAGCAGCAGCAGCAGCAACAGCAGCAGAAGCAGCAAAACATCATTCTTTTCTCTTGCATTTTATCTCAATCTAAATGCAAATGACTTTGAAACAAACAAATACACCATAAACCCTAAACCCTAAACCCTAGAAACCCTAAACCCTAAACCCTAAGCCCTAGAAACCCTAAACCCTAAACCCTAAACCCTTATATATATACCTAGTGTTCTGATGAGTTGCCAAGCAGTTTGACTATCTTTTTGCAGACGAATAGAGGAGAGAGCAACAGGAGGAGTTAAGGAAACAGAGACAGAAGAAGAAGAAGAACGAGGGGGTTGGAGACGTAAAGAAAATTCTATTAATTGCTCCCCTCCATTACCTCCTTTTTCCTCACATAAACGAACTATCCTGGAATACACAAACCCTAAACCCTAAACCCTAAACCCTAAACCCTAGAAACCCTAGAAACCCTAGAAACCCTAAACCCTAGATATCTTATAAAAGGTTATTGAATAATTCACGGGAAAGCATATCATATAAGACTTGAATATGGCGGATACAAACATGACTAAGAATCCATAAACCCTAAACCCTAAACCCTAAACCCTTACGTGAATTCTGCTCCTTGAGCAAGAGCCTCATCTGCTGCTTCTTGCGAAGCAAAAAAGACGTGAGCAGTACGACTAGAAGTTGGGCCAGAATTAGAAACCATCGCAGCGTATAAGGCTCCACGCTTCTGAAACGTAAACCCTAAACCCTAAACCCTAAACCCTAAACCCTAGATGTAAACCCTTGGTGTAAACCCTATATTGGGTAGAAATGAAGAAACAGATGATTCATATCATGACGGAGCTAAACCCTAAACCCTACTTTCCTCTAGACGATACACCCATACCCTTCCATACAAAACCCTAAACCCTAAACCCTAAACCCTAAACCCTAAACCCTAGACGTACTTCTAGAGCTTTAAGTACATCAAATTTATTGATTCTTGGATCAACCCTATGGATCTCTAGACAACAAGAATCAGGCAGCAGCAGCACATCCTTAGCAACAGCAAATACACCAAAAGGTAAATCTTCTTGTTGCTCCCCTGTTGTTGATACTCTTGCCTGACGAGGCCATTCCTCTAATAGTAAAGGAGACATGTCACCTGCAGCAGCAGCAGCAGCAGCAGCAGCAGGTACAGTAGCAGCAACAGTAGTGTACTAGTAGGAGCAACAACTGTAGTAGTAGTAGGAGCAGCAGCAGCAGCAGCAGCAGCAGCAGCAGCTTACCTGCCCCTGTAAGGAGGCCAACGGGCACCTCCAACTTGAGGTCACGGAAACCTCCGTCTTCCCATCGCTGCAGCAGCAGAAGCAGCAGCAGCAGAAGCAGCAGCAGCAGCAGATGCAGCAGCAGCAGTAGATACAGCAGCAGCAGCAGCTGGTCGTGAGTCTACTGATTCGGAAGACACTGCTGCTGCAGCACGAGTGCTGCTGCCTTCCTCGCCAGCAGCACCAGCACCAGCAGCAGACAAGCATGCAAAAGCAGCAGCAGCAGCAGCAGCAGCAGCAGCAGCGTACCTGGAGGAAGACCTTAGCTTGATGTTGTGCTCGATCTCTGCATCTAACAAATTGTTCTCTTAATAAATTTGGATTATATGCCTCATGCATAAACCCTAAACCCCAAGAAAAAAAAACCGTAAACCCTAAACCCTAATTCATAAATAGATATATATAGACAGACAGCTAGCTACCCAGCTAGCTAGCTAGCTAGCTAGGTAGCTAGTTAGCTAGCTAGCTAGCTGAATACAGTGGTAGCAGCTACTGTGTGTCTGACGGTACCGTCAAAGATTTAGGGTTTATATTGTATATATACAAGAGATTATTGAGGGTTGAGTATATTAGGGTTTAGGGTTTAGGGTTTAGGGTTTACCTAGATGATGATTTTCTTCAAAGAAACGAGATGCATGATGAATTCTGTATTCTTTTAAATATTTTTTATATCCATCATTTAATACATCTTGGCTTGTACCATCAGGCTGTATATACACCCCAAAACCCTAAACCCTAAACCCTAAACCCTAAACCCTAAACCCTAAATATTAAATTTTGACAGGGGTAGGGAATTATATATATAGACATTAAACTTCAAGCTAAACCCTCAAAAAGCTTATGCAGAAGGTGTCACCCAAACCCTAAACCCTAAACCCTAAACCCTAAACCCTAAACCCTAAACCCTTACATTTCTGAGCACGAATTGTTTGAAGCTAAGCATAGGACCATCAAGCATATGCTTAATTTGTGTATCTGTATCTAAACCCTCAGAGGACGTAAACCCTCCTCCTCCTCCTCCTCTATTGCTGTGGTTACCGTAAACCCTAAACCCTGATGAATAATGAGGGTCTGAGCCCCTATGTCTTCCCCATGACCCCCGTGAGGAAGCGGGAGATCTGCTGCGGCTCCGACCCATCGTAAACCCTAAACCCTAAACCCTAAACCCTAAACCCTCGTCATGCACGATAGATAAGAAAGCAGAGAGGGGTATTAGGCAACCAATGCCGTTGTTGTTGTTGCTGCTGCTGCTGCAGCTGCTGCTTTTGCTGCTGCTGTTGCTGCTGCTGCGAACCTTCGATGTTTCTGTTTCAACCGGTTCTGCTGTTGGTATTGTTGTCGCTGCTGCTGCTGCTGTTGCTGCTGCTGCTGCATAAGGATACAGTGCTGCAGCGCGATAAAGAGTAAAGACTTTGCTCCCCTTACGAGTTAATAATTAAGAAGAGAAAAGACAAAAAAGAAGAAAAAAAGGAGCAGCAAAGAGTTGTTAGAAGATGGTATTAGGTGGTTTGCTGCTGCAGCAGCAGCAGCGGCGGCAGCAGCAGCAACAGGAGCAGCAAAAAGGGTCTATTATCGTGATAAAGGTAATAAAAAAGAAGAAATAAAATAAAAAAGATAAAAAGGACAAATTTATTTATTTATTTCTTTCTCCCCCCCTCCGCTCTTCCTGCAGTGGTGACATCTGGGGCTGCCTGTACACCGCAGCGCATGCACCGGTGGTTTTCTTGCCATCGGCTAAACCCTAAACCCTAAACCCTAATATATAACAAGGATAAACCCTCTTCATGTTTTAGGGTTTAGGGGTTATCCATTAGGTCTAAACAGATCCCCTAAAACCCTAAACCCTCCCCCTCTATATATGGGGTTATTAACACTAGGTGTTCCTGTCTAATGGTGTTTATTATTATCTAGGGTTTAGGGTTTAGGGTTTAGAGAAACTACTCAAACACTAAGGAAAACCCTAATAAGGGTGGGGGGTTTTGCCTGCTGCTATACTACTTCCTTGCTTCTCCTCTAGCTGTTTGCTACGAATACTAGCACAAACCCTAAACCCTAAACCCTAATTATTAAACTCTTGCTTCTCCTCTAGCTGTTTGCTACGAATACTAGCACAAACCCTAAACCCTAAACCCTAATTATTAAACTCTTAAGAAAAAAAGATAATCTGCAAACCCTCCTCTCCAACCCCACGCGTTTAAACCACCGGACCGAGCATCTGCTCTAAACCCTAAACCCTAAACCCTAAAAAAGGCTGCATGCCTTTGAGGTTGCAGCTGGCTTTGGCTTTGTCGTTGTCTAATGTTCCGTAGACCCTAAACCCTAAACCCTCGGCACGCATTTAAGGGTTTAGGGTTTAGGGTTTTGGTGTTCCTTAAGGGCAGCTACACGTAAAGGATAATGATCCTCAACAATAGCAGCAAACCCTAATGCTCCCATTGCGGTGTATGCGCAGCTTAGTAGTCTCTGCAGCACACAAACCCTAAACCCTAAACCCTAAACCCTAAAATTGCCAAGCTCAATCCCTTCCTTCCTCCCCGCCATTTAATCAAAAATGTATCTCTCCCTACGTACAATACACCTTAGTAGGGTTTAGGGTTTATAAATTAGGGTTTAGGGTTTAGGGTTTATTACCTTAGCAGGGTTTATCATAAAACCCTTTGTATCCCCTAGGGTGTCTGCACACCATAAATTTCTTCCTAATTGCAGCGCTGCTCCGCTGTCTCCTTCATCTACAGCAATTGATGCCTAATTCACAAACCCTAAACCCTAAACCCTAAACCCTAAACCCTAGGAGCCTGACCCTCACAAACAGTCCTGAAGACCATTCAACAAACCCCGACGCTTTCATCGTTGAACTAGTGTTTAGGGTTTAGTAGGGTTTAGGGTTTATGACTAAGGGAAGGAACTCATCGATTTCGCTAATATTAGGGTTTAGGGTTTAGGGTTTAGGGTTTAGGGTTTCTGACCAGAGTAAGGAGTTCCTCTAAATCGCTCTTTTTTGCCTTTTCTTCTTTTATATCCTTAATTAATTTTTTTAGGGTTTGGGGTGTATACGCTAAATTCCTCCAACCAACTTCTGTCTTCTTGTTGTAAGCAACACAAACCCCAAGACCTGCATAAACCCTAAACCCTAAACCCTAAACCCTAACCAACGCGCTACGCCATGCTGGATACCCAAACCCTCAACCCTCAGACGACAAAACCCTCCATGTAACTGTATATATCGCGCCTTGATTGTTTAGGGTTTAGGGTTTAGGGTTTGCCAGAGAGGTCGACTGCCTCACACACACATGTCCCTAGGGTTTAGGGTTTAGGGTTTAGGGTTTACCCGTGAGGTCGGTTGCCACGCAGATTTTCTTGCGGTTTGCTGCCCACGCGGATGCTTGCTTGGCGATTTCATCGGACAGCTCCTTTAATCTTTTGCTGCTGCTGCTGCTGCTGCTGTTGTTGCTGTTGCTGTTGCTGCTGGTGCTGCTGCTGCTGTTGTTGCGCTCGAGGTAATCAAGAAGTTTCTTACACAGCTCTCTATGCACAAACAAGCAACGGAGGGTTTAGATTAGGGTTTAGGGTTTAGGGTTTTGGGTTTTTATGCTCCCTAGCAACGACAAGAGTATGCAGCAGCAACAGCAGCATCAACAGCAGCAGCAACAGCAGAAGCAGCAGCAGCACCAGCAGCAGCAGATGCTCACTCTTTTTCTTTATTGTAAGGTTTTGCTGCCTCTACAGCATGGCGAATAACAGCAGCAAAAAGAAGCGGCAAATCTGCTGCTGCTGCTGCTGCTGTTGCTGCTGTTGCTGCTGCTGCTGCTTTAGATGTTTTCTTTGCTGAGGGTTTATTAGGTGCAGCAAATGCAGCATGGGGTGTATAAGCAGCTGCAGCAGCAGCAGCTGCTGCAGCGGTGGGGTTATTATAAACAACCACCTCTGGTTGCTGCTGCTCTCTATCACGAAATAAACTGTATAAAGGAAGCATATATTCCTTGCTGCTGCTGCTGCTGCTGCTGCTGCTGCTGCTGCTGTTGCTGCTGCTGCTGCTGCTGCAGCGCAGCACAGGGATACACTCAGGGAGAGTATAAAAACCGCGACTATGCGAAGGAGGAAGAGAAGAAGAAGGATTAGCTAATAAATCAAAGGGGCCTACAACACAAACCCTAAACCCTAAACCCTAAACCCTAAACCCTCAAGTTTGAGTCCTAGAGACTTAACGCTGAATTGTGGTTTGTGCAGATCATTAAAGTGTGTCGTCCGCTTCAACTAGGGTTTAGGGTTTAGGGTTTAGGGTTTACCGCATAGAGTAAGTCCTAGGGTTTGTAATGCCTGCCTAGGGTCTTGTCCCTTTGGGGTGTATAGGCAGCAAAACCCCCATAATAACCAAAACCCTAATTTATCTGCTGCGCTGCTGCAACAAATATTTAAATAAAACTTACGCTGCAGCAGCTCGGCTAGATGCTGCTGCTGCTGC